GTATATCGTCGCAGGAGTGCTTTTGACAGCAGTAAGATTGGCTTCCATATTTATTTATAACTTGAAGCTGAACTCAATAACACATTGTCGCGCGATATTTTTAGCTAGGTGTCATAGGCGTGAGCATCAATATCATCGTAATTTTGGCCCTCATACGCACACCAATATTCTACAACGCCTTCGGCTACATTTGTACGTTGCATCTGATGTCCAACACGGGAGAACTGCTGGTTTGCTCGCTCTGGAGCGGACCAGCAACAATTTTGTACAGTTTGGCGTTGAGAGTATGTTTCATGACTTCCTGATGCCGTTGCAGGCAGCTTGATGCGTCAATCACAGATACTTTTATTGGATCGAGAATAGGACAGGTTTACCATTTTTTCTGGTTTTGTTCACTATATGGTGATTTTCAAATAGCCGTAAATCGTCTTGTGGCAATTGGATGGCCGTTAACATACAAGTGAGCGCGCAACTATTCGATAGCTCTTCAGACATAAAGAACCTGCTCTGGTTTCTCAATTAAGTAAGATTTTTGCTGGAAGAAGACTCATCTACCTTACTGGTAGCTTTTGTATATTATCTCTTGCTCACGCTCTCGTATTCAGCACATGTACGTTTGTACAGTAGAGTAGTTTTCAGTTCGTATCCTAATATGCGCAAACGCACACACCACCCATTACGCGTGTTCTGGAGTCGCTAGACTTAAAAAAATTTTTTTACGAAAAGTGCTTTTTTAGCGTTCTTTTGTAAATTTCTGCTCAATCTTGTATCAGTGTAAGTATTTGGTGAGTAATTTGAAGTTTGTACGCCAACGATCATGCATCCAGAGTGGGTACGCAATGTGTAGGATTTACGCTCCGACACGCATTAAGATACGAAGTGATTAGACTACTTTCAATTCATTTGTCTTCAAAATTATTTGAACAATAATTGATTGAAGATGATTGTTCACTATGGTTTGACTCAACGATATTTTCGTGGAGCCCTCGTCCTACCACCTGCGGTTACATCGCAGTTTACTACACAATTGGTGCTCATGTGATATGCGTTTGCGCTCTGATATTTATCATTGACACAATAACATTCTACTGCATATGGAAAAGAGCAAAGGCAAGTGTGAAAATGGCTGTTTTTGCGGCTAGAGATCATTCCGAAAAGTAAGTTGGGAGTACATGAATTGTACCATCATGAATTGTGACTAAGTCATGCTCATAATGCGAGTGTTAGGCCCGACTGTAATGAACACTCACTCTAAATCGTACTCATACTCAATTCCCCAACAAGAACGCTGCTTTGCTACAGCTTGTGGTCAGGTCACATCTCAAGACTGGCTTCTTATGTGAAGGAGGCATTGAAGAGCCATTGTTTAAGCAGCAGCTAATAAGTAGCTCAAAATTTTCTGCGACAGCGTATTCAAATGCTGGTTGGTCCGCTAAAGAAGAGTACGGTTTGGGTGAGAAATTCAGTGTACAGTTTCTCAGACAAGAATGAAATGCTTATAACAGAAAATTCCTCTTTTCCTCTTATAAAATTCCAAGTGCTCTATCGAACGGACACCATCTTCGAATCAGGAGCAAAAAGATCCACTGATTTTAGGTTGAACATTTGCAGGAGTAAAAAGTAACAGTCTTGGGTGGTATGAACGTGAGAGCCATAGTAATAGACTGCACAACGTCCTTATATCGCAGCCACAAAGAGTGCTGAGGGCATAGGTGCGATAGGGGGAGCCGGGCTCTCCCCAGGTGAAGGGGGTCTCTGCTGTTCCCGACCTTCCAGGGTGAAGGGGGTATGCGAGTTTGGGGTTGGAAAAAATTACTTAATTTTTTACTACTAATTACTTTAAAATTAATTACTTAATTAATTAATTTTTTTACTAGAAATTAAAAATTTTTAAAAAATTGACTTTATAAAGATCTGTGCTCCTGCATTGCATCAACAAAAAACGAAAGCAATAAGGTTTATCCCAAAAGATGTACAAGTTAGGAACAACTTCAATTCCTGCACATCATCATCAGATATCACTATCGCTAACGTCAGAGACAACAAGTTCGCTGCCTAAAAAATCTTCTTCTTCCTCCAAAAGTCATCGGAGTAAAAGTAGAATTGCGTGCAAAAGCGTTCTGAGTCGAAAATAGATTTGAAACTTTCTTCTTCTTCTAAGCGCTTTTGTGAATTTTTTCCTAACCCTCTGGTAGCACCAGGAAAGTCAGCAGGTAGGTGACCACTTTCTTGACTTCTGCCTTGTGTTCTGATAACAGAGTAGATAGAAAATTTGTTTCTCCATCTCTGCCGTGCTAGTCGGAATGGGAAACTAGCTTTGCCAGTAAGTCCATCATATTTTTGCGGCAAGTAATGGGAAAAGAGCCAGATCGCATATGTTTTCGCAACACGGGAAGGAAATAGTGCATACTTTTTTGGGCCTTGCCGACCTCTGGCTTCACCTCCTCTGGCATAGGTCCTGTTAGCTGATGAGAAAGCTGTTCAACTTCTACTTTAACAGCATCTGCGGAATAGCCGAAAAAAGTAGATACTATGCTGCTATTTCCCTGAAAAATGCCAAAATAAAACAAATTCGCCCTTTCGTATTGCTTGCTCGAAAATCATAACTTTTCATCATAGAGACCCTCAATCAGCGCAAACTTTGCACTGTTAGAAAGAGCTGGTGAAAGAACCTACAATACTGACTGCACCAATTTTTGTTGCAATTCTCCGGTTTTTTATGACCCTACCCAGAATATTCAAATTTTGACCAATTTTCTTCTATCGCTCCTATCTATGCAACAGATGACCATTACTAAGCAGCTGAGACGTCATTATAAAGAGCATGACTCACCCTTTCACATAAAAGTGAAAGCAATCAAATCGGTTGGGAAAATCAGAAGTTATGATTGAAAATCGTGCGCAAAAACTTTCGGGACGACCTATACAATGTGTTGGCTTTTATGGGTCACCGGAAAATGATTTTTAAAGCCGGGAAGCAAAAAAGCCCTAACATGCTCCATACCATTCGAAAGCTGAGATCATGGAGAATCGACGTAGACCGTCGACTTTTTTCTAGGTCTTCTGTGCCGCGAGATATGAGGGATTTTATGTACCCCAAAAACCAACTGCTTTTTTGTCCTCAATTTCTGCTCTCCAAACGAATGCTACGAGAAAGTCGACGGTCTACGTTTGTTAATGAAGACTTGCTCTTTAACACAGATAGATAATCAGCAGTGATTAGGTCTTCATTTGGCAGAAATCTGCTGTTGAAAATGACCATGTTTTCAGCTAAAATGCGGTGTATCTCTCGGTAGAGGGGGGCTAAAAAGAAGTCGACGGTCGAGGTCGAATCCTCTTTTCCTGAGCTTTCGAATGGTATATAGGTTGCTGGGCGAAAAAACTAACCAGTTTTCAAAAATGGGGTGGAGATATTTACTATTAGCTTGCTCCACCCAGCTCCACCAATGTATTAGCTTTTATCGGTTACCGGAGCAAATGATTTTTAGAGCCGGGAAGCAAAAAAGCTCTAACATGCTCTATACCATTCGAAAGCTGAGATCATGGAGAATCGAAGTAGACCGTCGACTTTTTTCTAGGTCTTCTGTGCCGCGAGATATGAGGGGTTTTATGTACCCCAAAAACCAACTGCTTCTTTGTCCTCAATTTCTGCTCTCCAAACGAATGCTACGAGGTTAAATAAATAATATAAATAAACACAAATACCGTTTCTTTTGTAAATTTATGAGTGTACTTGTTGTTTGAGGTACTTAGCCTGCAAAACCTTTTAATAACGATTTTTATCATTTTCTCAGAGTACAATACCAATCTCAGCCGAGGTGAAGGGGGTCATCAGGAGTTTGGCCTCAAAGTGAAGGGGTTAAGATCCATCACTCCCCCTATCGCAGTTATGGCTGAGGGGAAACAATTTGCTTGAGTTGCTCAAATAGACTGTAAGCTGAATACAGCATTCAGAATTTACGCAACAGCAATAAAACGCAGTCGGAACACGAAAGACGTATGCTAAAAAGAATATATTATTTTATGTACAGGTAAAGTTTCATAAGTCCGCTTATCCATGCTTGCTTTTCATTTATCTAACTACCTGCAAAGATGCATGCAGTTATTCTTCACATATCAGAATACATTGATTGATACTTTTAGGGCTGTATTCAGAATATAGTCCTGTTACTGGCAACTTTATCATATCTTGTGCTTCTGAACTTTGCCTCGACAAGGTTGCAGGTATTTCTGACAAGCTCATTAAACTGGGAACTGGCCTACATGAGTTATAGATAAAACAAGATATACGGAAGTTGGCCAAACTAACGGCATCTTTTGCAGCTCATACTCTTCCTATTTAACCAGCCACTTCGAAGAATTTTGTCAAAACCATTCTTTTAAAGAAGCAGTCAACCATCACAACCACAACAGCTGTCGCACACTCCTCAAGCTCTGCCGCAGCTGACGCAATAATTAATTATTCTGCAGATAGACGATGGCATGATGTTTCGAATTCATAATGTTGCATGGACTTAATAAAAAAGACTTGCTTTCAATGAGCCTATTCTGGTTCGATAGTTTTAGAGGAGGTTTCGTATAAATTCCGAAAACATTGGGTGTGTGTTCAATGAATACGTCAGGGCCTGTAGTAATCTACCCCAGAACGTCACCAATAAACGAGCTAAGCTCACGACACTCATTGCAAATTAAGAACTTAGCGCGAACTTAGCGCGAGCCTCACAATTGTCTCCGCAAAACTTGCACGCCCACGTGCATCAAACCTTTGGCGTGATGATTGCGAACAACGAGCACAGCCACTACGCTACATCAACCGATTTGCTGGCAAGCCTTTTCAATGCATGAATGCAAATGCAATCTTGTGATAACATGTAGGTTACTCAAGCAATAACCCGTACGTGGATTTGATATCAGCAAGTGATTCTCATGTTGAACGCGTCCCATTCTTTGCTTTCAGTCAAGACTGTTTTGCCCTTGTCCCTGTCACTTATCCATCGTGCATGTCCCAAAATCGTCCTCATATAAACCATCAACGTGGCTATCTTTCGACCATTTTGACGTGTCGTGTCGTTGATGGTTTATGTCAACTTCGAATAAGCGCCACAATTGCTGGCGAGTCCGAGCACAACACTGATTCTTGTCAAAGACGCAGTAACGCAGAGCAAGTGCCGAAAACACACATTGGTGGGAAAAGGTACGAATAAGTCGCAGAAATGCTGGAAAATTCCTTGGTGCAAACACAAGTGACCAAACTGATTATACAAAACAGACCTGGTTCTTGTCGCTGTAGGTAAAATCTACCCCGATCGTAATCAGACCGAGCTCTGCCATATTTGCGCGCGCGTAGCGCCATTACTTTGCGCTGCCTATGCGCACTGCGGGAGAGAGAGCGACGAGATCGAAGAGGGAGCAGGCACGCTGCCCGTACACTTGACGCAAAATCCTGCGAGGCGAACTCCCGCCATGCCAATTTTGGCCTTTGGGTTGGAATTGGGGCGGACTTTATTATCAATCTATCACTATACCCTACTTTCACAACTTCGACAATGGGTTGCATGTGCTATCAAGAGAACCCTTTTTAGATACTGTTGCAGTTTCTACGCCGTCATCAAAACACTGTAGGGGTGCTATGGGGCTCTGCGTGATCGCGAGACTTAGTGACTTTGCGGTCATTGCACGCGGATGACCTCAATCTTTCTCCTTCCACACCCTTTTCTGCTACTGGATGTTAGCTTCCAACCTAGAACGAATTTGAAGAGTACGGAATTGTCTAACTGATTTGAGGCCTTATGGCATCTTGCATGTGCGACGGCTCTATTCTCTATCTAAGGTAGAGCAAAGATTTGCAGCGTCACATGCGTGGTCAAGTCACGCAAAATATATACTGATGGATACTGTAATGCAAAACGGTTATCTCCCGCTTAAAGATGTGAAGATTTAAAGAGCTGCAAAGTATTACTTTTGTGGCTAATTTTACTTATTTGTGATTGCGATCTACAGAGTTTACGCACAATCGTTATATTTATGAACTGGGAAAATGCAATAAGAAAAGGCGATGTCAAGAAGTAAGATGCATAAGAGTTGTTTTCTGCAATGTCTCGTCAGAGTCTTTATTATACCAACGACCGCCATTTCGTTTTGGGTTGAAATCAGGACATTCTATGCGGAGATCTACCAACTGTACTTGGCTTCAATGTCCTCTTCTCAAGCGTAATGTCAAGTCAGTGTTAATGCCATCCAGATTCTCCGTTTGTGTGAGGCGAACCTAAAAGTTTTTATTTTTTCCAAAAAATAATGCTTTCGTCAGTTTCAAAATTCATTAGGCTTACAAATCCTACACCATATCGAAGAAGCCAGAAAAAGCTCTTTTGCTATCGAAGCCAATGGTAGCACTCCAAAAAAGACCTGTTCGACTTCACTTTTGAATTGCTGTACTTTTTTGGAACGCGGTATACGCTTCACGGTTTAGAATTTAAAAAAAAGGAGGGTACTCCAGAAACTAGAAATGAAAAAACCTCGGATTTCGCCAAAACTTCCTACATAGGGGTTATTCGAGGCGGTGCTGGTCACAAAAATGATATTCATTTCACATTATCGGGCCTTCTCTGTGCGACTACGTTAGGCGTACGGCATGGGGTCAAAATCTCAGTTCTTGCTGAAACTATGCACAGAGGGGTTATTCGGCACGCTGATCATGATTATCACAATTTCCTTTCGAACACACTCCTCTGTATAGTTATGGTAGGTGTACGGTAGGGGGGTCAAAATCGTAGATATGGCTGGAGTCTGGGAAGAGAGGTTATTGACATGCTGATCACGGATATGTAGTCTTCGTGCATTTTGGGGGAGCTTCCTGTAGCGCTTATGGTAGGTGTAGGTAAGGGATCAAAGTCGTAGATCTGTCTTCTGAAACTTTGTGCAGGGTGTTATCTGATGTCCTGATCACGTATCAGCCTTTTTGCTTGACAAAGTCATTTCGTCGATTTTTTGGGATGTAGATTGACCCGAAAAGGAGAAATGGTGCATATTTTTAGACTGCAGATTACCGTAATGGCTTAACTCCACAATAATACATTGCTGCAGTGAGCAAGCATGATATTCGTAATCTGCCTTAAAAACCCCTACAGGGCAAGTTTTGAGCAAATTAGGGACTACGACCCAACCAACTTATACTAGCCGTAGCCCAAGAGAATGCCGCTACCTTGCGAATTTGACATGATGTACATGTTCAGCGTGCAGAATAATTCCTCTAGCCCCATTCTAGCCAAGTTTACGATTTACCCCCTACAGTACACCTACCGTAAACATACAGGGAAAAGTTCATGCAGAAAAAGTGTGATATTCGTAATCAGCATGACTAATACTTCCTCTGTGCATAGTTTCAGCAAGATCTGATTTGACCCCATGCAGTACGCTTTAAGTAATCCCACAAAAAAGGCGCTACCATGTAAAATGGATATCATTTTCGTGATATACTGCCTCGTAACAGTTGTCGCGTTGAAAGAATTGCGAAGCGACGAAATCGCTTCTTTTTGCTCGCCCCTTCAAGGGCCAGGCGTACATCACGCGATTTTATTGTCTCGCGATTCTTACAACTAGACAGCTGTTACGAATCCAAACCTAATCATATTGTACTTTGGTTGTGATAGTTAGTCGCGATTAGCAGTGTCCGAAAACGACCACAACCGAGATTCAAGGGGAGCATGCAATGAACTCGTTGCAGTTGTCTTGTTGGGTGGATCGCGAGGCGATGAAATCGAGTAATGTATGCCCGGCCCTTGAGGGAGAAATAAATTTAGTGAAAATCCCAACCGAATTTGAGTGATTATCAAACAAAGACGAAGAGGAGAAAGCATAAACGTCGTCATTCTTCTCACGCAAAGGTGATGATCAAAGAGCTCCGTGGCCGTAATCACTAACAGACTCAGTGAATTGGCTTAACCCAAACTGGCACGAAAATAGACTAGCAAAGCGAAGATCCAAGAATATCCCTACCCATTAAGTTCAACCCACAGAACCCACTGGGTTGCAGGATCTCATTTGTTGATGAATATGGAACGCCCGTAAAAGAGCTCGGACCTGGGAGGAGTTGCAGGTGCGCTCCATTGCCATTTCGATTAGAGCACCGTTATTCGACTGGAGCGCACTATCTCCAAACACTTCACGTTTCACAGATTTGAGCCGTTTCTAGATACAGCGATAACTACATGTATATCCTCTTGCATCCTTGCATCTGATCATGCTCCATTCGACTCCACGATCACTGTCTGTGCATTTATTGTTTGTTCTGTCTTCGTTTATACTTTTATTATCGTCTCCTTTTCACAGATGAGTGATGACTGTTCGAGCTCTTCCAACAGGAAAGCGCAAGAAGTCTGGTAATGGCGTGATTATGAAAACAACCGTTTCTTCCAAACTTCAGAAAGAGGATGTCCGGCTCACTCATTCCGTCAACAACTATATGGAGTCAAATAAGTAAGCGATGATTGTTCTTGCTGTAATCGCTTTTTATCTCTTGTACTAGTTTTTATATGCATTAGCGAATCTCTTGTTTTGAGTACTGTTATCTCCAAACCACGCCACGTCTTCTTCTTCTACAGTGTCGTCATCGTCGTTCGCTTCTATCCGACTCCACCACACTATTCGACGTCTCATAGTGAAGTTATGGCCATGCAATGCGCGCCGACGGGCATCGCGTTGAGAGCAATCTGCAGGTAGTCACAAAAAACTCTTTTTTATGTTTGCCGTAAATCATTTTTGAATATCTAATTTCTTAAAAGAAGTGCTCATGAAGCAGCCTTGCGGCATTTGTTGCCATCGCTGTTCTTTTTCTCAAGTGCGTTACAAGTTCGAAAAAAGAGTTCCATTTTCCAGCTGGATTCTGGAAACTCATGCTTTTTCTCGTAAACTCAGCAATATCATATCAGCTACATCTCAACGTTTCTCCTGCCGTTGTGCAAAACGCTATTTATCAACATTAGCCACAAGTTTTTCTGTATATCGCTTTTTTTCGATATCCATTCTCCTCAGCCAATTGCATTCCCTCTGATCAGCTTGATTCTGTCTTCTGTTTTCTTTTTTGTCGCACTAATATTATCCAACAAAGAGATTATGCAATTCTGAACATAACCAAAGACAAACTGCACGTCAAAATTCTTTCTCTCGCTTGAAAATGATTGAGATATATCCGTTTCGTAAACCAATCTCTTTTTCCTTTATTCTCAATCTGAGAATGAGTAGCATGTGAACAAGTGCAGCAGCAGTCTCATGTATTAACTATCTTTAATCTTCTGAATTTGTGGTGATTTTCGTCGATTGAATCCTAGATTTTTGCTGCTTATGCAATGCCCTTTTCTTACCAGTGTTCTGATTATGAATTTTTTCATTTGGAAACGCAATATCTATCAGAAATGATGCCACTCGCTCGGAATTCAGATATTTCATCATCGCATCTCCGCCAAAGATTCTTCTTATGTTTAATAGCTCTTTTCTGATTTAATTTCCGGTCGATGTGTTTCGAGTGAGTCAGTTTGAGCGCTGCTATATGTTATCGGCGCTGATTTTATCATTGCATCGTTAGGAAATCGATTGGAAAATCGATTGCTAATCGATTTTCCAATCGATTAGCAAATGATCCGTAAGATGGGCCGAGTGCGGATATCGCCAAACGTTTTTGTGACCAACACTGACATTTATGTAAACGCAGTGTTATTCAAAAGATCGAAAGGTGCGCTGTAGTTCTATTGAGCACATACATTGTCACTGCATTTACAAAAATGACTTTTGGTTTTTGCACACCAGATCAGAGCCGAAAGATTTGGCCTTTCAGTCGATCGATAATCGTGGATCGATCAGCTGTTTTGCAGCGAGTCGTGTCGGCCCGAGTGTCGTTGGAATGCGAGTTCATGATCGAATTGGGATAAAGACCAATCCTCTGTCCCACGATCGCCGTATTCCAGTCGCGCTCAAGTATATGCCACAAAAACGCGCATTGCAACCCTTCAAAGTCTGGAAAGAGTAGGGATGGTTGAGGAGAGATTTGAAATCTTCGCAGTGGAGGGTGACATTTTTGGGCAAAGTTTGATTGCACAAAGTTTTACCGATAGAAGTATGAACTTGTACGCATGGGCAGTGTTTGAAAGTATCTACTGCTCAGAAAGTTCCTAGTCCCCATTTAACTTTGTCTAAGGGAGTTATTCTTACGCTGACTACAAATAACATTTTTATTTCGCACGGTGATGCCATCGGCGGAGTTACGGTGGATTACGGTAAGGGGTAAAAGCACGCACGGATTTGCCCCAGACTTCGTTTAAGAGGGTTATTTGGCACGCTGGACATGAACACCCCACAGTAAGTTTCGAAGTGATGCGTTTATGTTCCTACAGGTTCTGCTAGCCCGAACTCGAGCCCTACAGAGTGCAACACTCCTTCTGCAATGTTCTCTGCAAAATGAATTCGACCCTAACTGAGCATGAATTTGCCGCTTTCCTTTCTTGGTTGGCTCCATACACACCAGCGAAATAATAGCGATACGTTGACGTGGTGCCGAGATCTTATACACCTTACTTCAATACAGCGAGAAGGATTATGTACATGGAAAGCTCGAGTAGGCAATTTGCTACCGCCCTCCGGCTCCGTTTAAAACAACAAACTATGCAAAGAGCAGGCACGATAAGCTGAAGCATGTGTTGTTGCGTTGCGATTCTGTTCTAAAAGAATGTGCAAAACGATACATTGTGCAAGGGACGCGAGAGGGACTCTTTCAAACACTAATGGTCGAGAATAATTGCGCCTGTGTGAAGATTCAAGCTTGATTTTTTTGGCTGCATTCAAAATCATCTTTTTATAGATGAATTCATATTGCCGAAGATGTGGATGTTGCTCCTATTGCAGTGCGTCTGTTCTCTGAGTAGCTTGCGTGCATGATCACGCTTTGATGACATTGAGGTTAATTACCAAATAACTGGGCCGTTCAATATCCTATTTGAATTACAAGCAGTTCAACGGTACAATCTGGCTTGCATCACAGAATCTGAAGTAGAAACGACCCTAGGGATCCCTCCTAGTGCCTGAAAACATTTTTTGACACCTCAACACGCACCCTTGTGCCTCTTATACTTTCACTGTACTTGAGCAGGACCGTATCAAAGAAACCCTTCACAAGACAGAGGGAGGTTGTCTTTACTAACTATTGGCATTCTGCTTGACTAACACTAGTTTTCCAGCTAGAAAACCAAGTTGGAGAACTGATAAAGTCGTATGCAAAGAGCCCTTCAGGGCCTCAAGATCAGCGAAGTCATGAGATGTTGAAAGAGCTACCGCTGAAAACACTTGGAAATCGTTTTGCAAGGTGACAAGAAATGCTCCCAGGTACCTCTTTAGTACAATTGAAAACATCTTTGATACCTCACACGCGCACCCGAGTACCTCTCACTCACTATACTTGAGCAGGATCTATCAAAGAAGTCCTTCAGGAGGCTGACTTGGTTGACATGGATTGTTCCACAGTATGATTCGGAGGCTTATGTCGTCATTGTGTTGTGGCCTTGTTTTAGAACTATTGTTAAGTTCACTATTCCACATTAGTGGACCCAAAAATCGAAACTCTAGGCGAAGTTTTGCATAAAACGTGCTTACCTCCACCGTAAACCTACCAAGGCGCTACCGTACGAAATAAATGTGATGTTCAATCAGCGTGCGAAATGATTCTCTTGAATAAAGTTGGGCAAGAACCTCAGTTTCAATTTTTGGGTCAACTATTGTGAATTAGTACCATTGAGTTCGCCCTGTTTTGTAATTACCGCAATTTGTTTCAGTGCCGTTACGCTTTGAAATGATTTCTTAAGGAAGATCTACAGCACCAATGTGCTGCAGTTCTTCTTTAAGAAGATTATCCATGTCAAAAAAAAAGAAATCATTTAAGGATGCGAACCAGCGCACCCTGTCATATTTGTAGGGGTGGACCCTGGCCGCTCTCAGACTTATACAAGCACCTTCGTAATCGCCACCTCTTATCAGAAGAAGAGATTCATGAAGTGCAAGCGGCAGTCAAGAAGGCCATTTACGGGCCAGGAAAAAAGTGCAACGTTTGTGAAAGGATTTACTTCTCAGAGAGAGGTCTGAGAAGGCACATACAAGTGAGCCTCATGCCTTCACTTCTTCCAACAGATGCTCATAGGTTCGCTTCAATCTTCCTGCTATTGTTTAGAGAGATCATGGCGGAACCCTCACCACCAATGAACCGCATGCAGCACCCAATTTGACGTGTTTTTGTAAAATGAAGTTGTGTTCCCAAGAGGATTTTGCGTACCACTGTCAGGAGGCCCATGAGGGTCCGCAATTCGTAATCATCAATGAAACCTTTGCACCTTTTGCCGCTTTTGAGGTAAACTGCCATGTATCTCAAAAATTCGATCAGTTTTTGTTCACGAATTTGCTTTTCCAGGAGTGGCTAGAATCCAAAGAAATCGAAACGCATTCGAAGCTCGTTCGCAGGAACATAAGAAAAAGTAGTAAAGGGCATACATACGTGTACAAATGTCACCACTCAGGTGGAAACAATAGTGAAAACAATCCTGAAGAGGAAAAGAGAAGATACAGGCAGCGAAAAAGGGTTGTAAAGGATTGCCCTTGCTTCGTAAAGGTTTGTCATGTGAAGTCGCTTGTAGTTGTAATCGAATACTCGTTTAGGCACAGCTGAATGGTGGCGGCGGGGTTGAGACAGTTGCTTTTTTTGGCCACTACGGACATGAGGTAAACGTGGCTAGTCTGCCAATACGCCAGGAGGATGAATTGGTCGTTAAACAAATGATTGAAGCTGGTGTACCAGCTCATACTGTGAGATGTCAAGTTCGAGTACTTCCAAGTTGACTTTTTTTTCAGATCGTTACGAAACTTAGGAGAAAATACTGGAAAGAAATCGAAGATCCGCAAAAACAATCGCGACTTTGCTATTTGACTACAAGGGATGTAGCGTAAGTTCGATATGAATCAAATTTGTTTTATTGCAATTATTTTGTTGACGGTTATTTTAGAAATATCGCTGAACGTCACGGCTCAATAGCGGGGCGCAGCAACGTATGTGATCGCGTTTCCGTTCGGAATTTACTCCAAGATAACGAGGACGTCGCCGCAGTGAATTTGACAGAGACCACAGAACTTTCCGGTGACGGCTTTCTATTAGGTAGGTCTTGGCTACATGAGACTCACTCTTCACATCTGCTTACAGCCTTCATTACCAGACTAGGGAAGGTGTACTTAGAGGAATTTGGCAGGCGGGGCATCATATTAGACGATACATTCAACGTCAGTAGATATGCCTTCCGTCTAGCCACCCTTGTTGTCTCGGATGACGCCGGAAACGGCTATCCCTGTGGCCACCTCATCTCCTTTCGCATGAGCTCCAACGAAGTCGCCGTGCTCTTTAACCTGGTCAAAGTAAGTAAAAGTTCAAATGAGTCTTGTTTGCATTGATCTTTCCTTTCAGAAATGCATTCCTGATTTTGATACAAAGTATGTAATGACTGACGACACCAGTGTTTTTTTCAATGCTTATACGATTTGCTTCCCTAACTCTACTGCACAGAAAGTCCTTTGTGCCTTTCATATGACGCAAATTTTCCAAAGGAAGCACAGAGAACTTCTTACAGTGAGTTTAGGCACTCTTCCTGATATGTTCCTCTAATGTTCTGCTTAGGAACTCGAAGCATATTCTGCGCAAGACTCCTTCTGCGATCTCCTCTTTGAAGTGAATCCTTCCATATTTGAAAATAAATTCGCCACTTATCTCTCTTGGTTAGAGTCGATTCAAGCCAACGAAATGATTGAGGCAGGTTCAAGATGTCAAAATCTTCAGTCGATACACCTATTTTAGTACATTGAAAAAAATTACGCGCACAGAAAGCGCGAATGGGCAATTTGCTACCGTCCTCAAGCTCCATTTGAAACATCGAACCACGCAGAGAGTTGGCACAACAAACTGAAGCATGTGTTATTGCATAGCAAGCAGAACAACAGACTTGACACGGTAGTGTACACACTCATCGAGTACGCACATGACCGTCATCTCCAGTTGAAAGCAAAAGTTAGTTTTCTCTATAAGCGTCTGTTTGCGTCTGAAGGATTCATTAGAGCGTAAGAGGAGCATCGGATCTCTCTTGGAGGCGTAAACAGAATGTTCGAATGCACAAAATAGCTTTGAGTTTCTACAAAGGAAAGGTGAGACGTCCTTCTACATAATTGTGCATTGAGTGCAATAACATTATTTTTTAGGATGCCGTTATACAAGAAAGTCCAGACCGATACGCTGTGCGAGGGCCGCGAGAAGGGATCTTCCATACAGTAATGATCGAGGATAGTTGCTCATGCAGTAAAGATGTGAGCTTCATTTAAATGGCTGCGCTCAATATCTTTTTTTTTGCAGATGAATTCACATTGCGAGCGATGTGGATGTTGCTCTTACAGAATCCATTGCGACTGTTCTCATACGCATTCGGGAGTAACTTGCGTGCATGGTCACGCCGTGATGACATTTGGAGGTTAGTTATTAGATATCTAGGCTTCCAACAAATATTTTGTTTCAAGTACGAGCAGTTCAACGGCACAATTTGGCTTGCGACACAGAATCTGCAGCTGAAACAACCTCAAGGACCCCTCTTAGTTCAATTGAAAACTCTTTTGACACGTCACAAGCGCACCCGGATACTTCCTATACTCTACCAGCCACTATAATCGAACGGGACCGTATCAGAGAAGCTCTTCACGAGGCAGAAGGGGTTTGTCTCTACAAACTATTGACATTTTCTTCACCAGCACTAATTTTCCAGTTGCAAAACCAAATTGGAGAAATGATCAAGTCGTATGCGAAGAATGAAAGGCTTGACCTCCTTCAAGAAATCAGCGAAGTTATGAGAAATGGGATCAGACAGCTGCCACTGGAAACACTTGAGAATCGTTTCGCGAGGCGACAGGAAATGCAGACAACAGGAGCTGGCCCCACCCCAGTGCGAATTCAGTCATATAAAAGTGTGCGTGTTAATTGTTAGGTTGCTACACTCCTGAATAGATTCTTTTCCAGAGATTCCAATTGAAGCTAGAAAAGAAGAAACAGGAAAAACACTAACTTCCGAGCAGTGCTGCCGTTTTTTCTCCACAAAGATTCGGCACAAGTGTCGTTTTTTCAAATTTTTGTTCTTGTTTTCCTCCTAGATTCTGATTTTGCTACCTCTCTGAAGATGTAAGTGGTGTTTCTTTTCCACTTCTTAATGGACATATGTCTTAGTCGGCTTTACAGCTTTATAAAATGCCGTACCAGTCATTTTTGATCTTAGTGTTTTGTCGTTTCTCAGGCAAACTACTGCTTTCATGAAGCCTTTCCATAAATTTGTTCGCCTTCTCTCACTAATATACGAGGTATAGCAGAGCTACTGTAATGCACAATATCCGTAAATTTGCTCGCTTTTTCTCACTGATATACGAAGTAGCGGAGCTACTATAGTTGGAAATAAAGTGTTTATTCTCTTCTGTGAATTTTGACTAAGCGAATACAAATTTCGCCGCATTATATGAATGCTGTTGTTAGATGGTTTTCGCGATTCGTTGATGCTCTTCCGAGCAGGAGTAACATGATTTCATTCTGCGCTTTTGTTGATAAACACTTTCACCTTGGATGTTGTGTAGTAAGTGCAGGCTATAACCTTTGTTCTGCCTCACCTGTTTCGAAACTGAAATTTGTTCAAGAATTCACCTGTAAAATCAATAAGCTTTACTCAGTTCTGTTATTTACGTACACTTCCTTGCTTTGGTGAAAGTGAATTTCGACTTAGGGTGCTGTGTAAGTTAACGTGATGTTGCGGGAGCTTCATCATATCCGACACCAAAGGATGCAAGAGGATATACATGTAGTTATCGCTGTATCTAGAAACGGCTCAAATCTGTGAAACGTGAAGTGTTTGGAGATAGTGCGCTCCAGTCGAATAACGGTGCTCTAATCGAAATGGCAATGGAGCGCACCTGCAACTCCTCCCAGGTCCGAGCTCTTTTACGGGCGTTCATGAATATGGGCACTGGAGACTCAAAACTCGCAGAAACAACTTGCGAAAAAGCTACTATAAAACGAGTGAGAAAGTACCATGAAGGACAATGTATAGAGAACATGAAAGTAAATCAAAAATGACGCAGAAAAAAGTACCTGCAAAAGCGCCCAAGGTGCTCGAGTGTGGGCTTGTCCTTCTCAGAAAGAACCACGAAATGTTTAGAGGTAGCACATAAAGAATGGTTTTTGAACTATTTTGTTCACCTAAAAACGACAACTGGTAAGCAAGGGCAAACTGGCAAACTTAGTGTAAGAAAAGTCATAAGTTAGAATATTACATTGTTCTTGGATAGAAAAAGAAACTCAGCCATATTCTATGGAGACTCATGAACACCACTCGCTCAAAGGCATCGTCCAGGCGAATCTGGACATATATCTCACGTGAAAAAGTTTCTAACCCCTGACTACAAGGAAGGGATCCAAGTCGAAATCGACTTCCCACATGAAACATACACCAATATAAAGAGCATCGAACGCTAATTCCAAAACTATCTTTGTTGTGCCAAGCACCTCTAGACGCTGAGTGAGCGTTTTTGATTGGAAATATTGAACGCACAACTGGAGCAAATTGGACCGAGATTGCGCAAATGGCCCAGCGTTGGATATCAGAGCACTCTATGCACGTAGTTTCTCTTTAATACACATACACTCAACGTTTCTTTATTTGAGCGCTGGAAAGTCCAAAGACCCAAGAGACCCAAAATGCTTTGAAGAGTATTGCACGGTGATTCCAAATCCGCCTTCCAATTCTGCCAAGCGCCTCTGGGCGCCGAGTTATGGACGTTTTTCAGGTCAAAAAATTGAATGAAAAACTGGGACAAAATCGCCGTAATTTGCTCGAATGGTCCAGTGTCAAGTATCAGAGCCGTTTATGCAATGGATGGATTTTGTTTAATATGCTAATACTTGACATTGCCTTGTCTGAGCTTTAAAAAGATAGCAACAATCGATTTTACGACTCTGCATTCATTTTTTGTTCCAAAAAAGGCCATAATTCGGCGCTCAGAGGCACTTGGCAGATTTGGAAGGAAGATTTAAAATCATCGTGCAACTCTTCAAAGCATTATGGGTCTCATCTAAAAAGGCCATTCGACTAAACACGCTTCTCTTGTAAGTTGCGTAGTCTACTCCCTTCTAAAGAAGATTACCAAATTTTTTTTGAAAAAGATACCAACATGACCTCCAATCAAAAAGGTTAAGACGAGGTGTGGGCGTATGTACAGTCGAGTAAACTTCTGCTCAATATAGTGTCCCTGCATATGCGAAAACGCTTGTGCGTCGTTGCTATAGTTAGTTTCCAAGCAATGTTTTCTACTATTTTCTTGACATATTCTTTGCTTTTTAGATAACACGTTGCTGATAAAGGAGAGAAAGGTAAGTTAGAGGACGTTCCGTTTCTTGAGTAATTTATCGACACTAATTTTGTTATCTACTTCAAAGTCACGTCGCGTCAATTTCATGTGTATTTATTTTTGCCACAAGTGCCTTTTTTCTTGTGAAGCATTTCGATGAATGCTGATAGGCTTTGCAGCAACTCTTCTCTAAAAATGGGCAATTGATGGAGTAGTTCGGAATGAAGACAATAAGTCAAAAGTAAAAGCATGTTACCGTTCAAGAAATACTTCACAAGAAAAAGGAAGCATAACGTGGCAAAAAATACACATGGAAATGACGCGAAAAGGCATGAAATGACAAAAATTACATATGAAATTGACGCGAGGGACTTCCACGTCGATAAGCGAAAATTAGCGAGATTATGACTATTCAGAAAACGGAAATTATCCTAACTTACCTTTCTCTTCTTTATCATCTAAAAAACAAAGAATAGGCAAAGATAGTAGAAAATAATGCTCGGAAACGCCTATGGCAAGTGTCGACGCACAAGCGTTGTCGCGTCGACAATTGCCATAGGGGTTTCCGAGCAATATAGTGTCCTTGCAATATTAGCAAAAAATATACTCGACTTTATGAGAAGATGAAAAATGAACAATGAAGGGAATATAAAAAGAATGAAAAATGTAAGTCAATAATACGTACTCACCAACAGATATTCCCTCTTCCTTAGGAGCTCACTGCTAAACCCAGGTTTGCAAGCGCATTCCCCTATGAGATGATTCCAGCCACCGGATGAGGCACAAAACCTTGTGGGAGCCTCTGAAAAAGACTGGTCTTTCGAATTTTCAGATCTTTTAAACTTGGCAATCTCAACGCTTTGTATGAGAATCGCGCTTGCCGTACATTTTCCTGCAATTTTAAGGATTTCATCGCATGAATTCGACATCACGGTCAAATTGAAGACCATGTTCAAGCGCAATGCGCGATAATAATGAGCAAACTTGTCAAAAAAGCGTTGTTGGCTCGCGTGAAACATATCATGTGTGTGCTAGATCAGGGGCACCAGACTAATTCGAAACATTAGCCAAAATTGTGGGTAGCAACGTGTATCGATATCGATGTTGATTGACGATATCCACGTATCCAAATATCAATGTTGCTTTCTCCCTCAGAGTTACATCGGTTAAATTATCTTCTGCATAAGTAATGCCGCAAAAACAAGGGTAACCTCTAAGCAAGAGGAGCAGGAGCTTAGCATTGTATAGGCAACTACTCAGACAATGGCAGGGGGCAGGCGGGCACCGGAAAAATAGATTGCTGATCTCCCGCACCCCGCTCGCGGATTTTTTGGAAAGCAATCAGGACTTTTCGGAAGACCGCTTGCTGAGTTCTCGATTCCTCAAAGATTCAGCAATATATCTGCAAAAGATGAGGGCTGAAATTTGGCAGAGGGGTGTAATCGAGCATGCTGATCACCCCCACGGGGGTGATCAGCATGCTCGATTACCCCCCTGTGCCAACTCCCAGCCCTGTAGCTCGAATTTTGCAAAAAATCGATAAAATCGATATCGATCGATGACGAAAAGTGGCCTATGACACCCGCCGGGGCCCGATGTGTATGTGTGCCAAGTTTGGTCCGGATCGGTTTAGAAATGGAATTTTCTATTCGGAACATACGTACACACATACAGACAGACATACAGACAAACAGACATTCAGCTTTATATATAAGACGGTAGCATGCACAGACTGAACGCTGTTGCGTCTAGCCGAGATACTTCGTGCTTAGGAGAGACAGCAGACGTCAAGAGGTGAAAGAGCGCTCGATCAGCGAGACGCCAACAGCGTGCGTAATGCCTTTTGCCTTTGCGAGCGAATAATAGTCTATACATGTCAATCACACTCGCTAAATATGCTATACAAGCACTCAGTCACTCAAAGCCATAGAGAGGACAATCGCCTAGTGTTTAATGTGGCGAAGTTCATGCAATCTTGAGGACTCAGTACAACTACTCCATTTCCGCTAGTTTCTCGATCTCAGTCTGCGATGCTTGCGAAAATGGTACGCAACCTTTGCTTCATATAATCTGTCATTATGTGCACCTAGCGCATATAGATGTGCAGCTTAAAGAAAGCCCTTTACAAAGAACCTTCCACAACGCAATCGAAAAATAAGTGAAAATTTAGAAACATAGGGATTGATTCGAGTATCCAAATCGATAAGTAATCAAAACGATGCTCCTGATCCAAAAAGTGATGCTCCTAAGTTTTTAACTGAAAGCGTCAAGAATTGTTTTCTTTGAAGAAAAAGAGTTTCAAAATTTTCCAGATTTTTTGAGTAACCTAGAATGGCACCCAGTTTACGATTAGGGCAAAACAGTTCCAGCCTAACTTAAGATAGGGCTGAAGGTAGAGATTTGTCTTTTCTAAGAATCTTCGCAAAATGATGATGATAGGCATTCAAGAAATGAAAACTTTTGAAATACTCCACTCCAGAGTTACGAGATTCTACCGAGTGCCAAACATATCCTATCAGCAGGTGATCGTTGCCATGTTCAAGTTATTCTAAATAGACGCAATATTTGTTTTCACAGTAGTGTCTAGTGTGTCCAGAAAAGCACAAGCACTCGCATGAGGCATCCATCTCACTCGTCTTGGATCTATGTCTTGACGATTCTGTGATCTAGGTCCATGCAAAGCCACTCAACGTACGTAATAAAGAATATCCCACTAAGCAAACTAAAAAGCCCAGATCAAAGTAAAGACACTGCCAACGATACGAGCGACACATATCAAGCATTTTCTTAATGTTTTTTTTTACTACATTGCCCTCAAATGTCGGTGGCCTCATTTGATGAAGAGCAACAGAGAAGAATGTATATGAGAAGTATGATATGAGAATATGAGAAGCAACACGCACTCACCATTCTTCTTCAAACCGAAACGAACGATCTTGCTGACGACAACAGAGCTACCGCCGAGCTGTTGATCTTGGGTATTGTTTCTTTCATGAACATGAAGACGGCACACCTAAACAAAAAGAGAATGGAAAAAATGAGCATATGTCACTTCATTGGTACCATATTAGAATTGTTCTGTAATGTTCCTTATCCACATCGTTTACTTTTCGTTCGTACTGCTTGAAATAGAAATTAAACGTTTCTACTTAACTTTGAATTAGAGACTGATCATAGGATCGTGTTGTATACGTCACGTTTATAAGCAATCTAAAGGAAGACTTTTAACTTCGGTTGGTATCATAACAAATTGGTCACTTACACCTTGGCGGAGTTTGGCCTAACCGGAGTACCCAATTTCTTGCATTGGCAAAGTGGAAACTGCACGCAACGTAAGGAATCTCTGCGAATCAATCTCAGCCTCAGTCTCAAAATCGAAATGTCAAAATCTTCGCGAGCTTACGGATGCATTGTTGCATTGATGTTTCGGCAAAATGAGTCAAGACAGAGAAAACATGACAAAATTATCAACGCAGCTCACAGAGAAAACAAGACAAACTATATAAAGCAACTCGTGAAAAATTTTGCTAAATTGTAGTAAAACATCTCTAATCGAAGTTGAAAACCGTATTTCTAGAAGAAAGGAAGAGTAAAGGCTTTGAAGATGCTGTAAAGCAGAAATGCGAATAGCTCTTGCAGTAGTCGCGTGCTGGCGTACTGTAGGTGGGTCCCGGCACGATTATCTCGTGAACTTGGCGTTCTCGAGCTCTAGTCTCGTGCCATTTTTCTGCGTCTCTCCCGTTTGCCCACTATCTGAGCAGGAAAGTCGAGCTCGTGTACGAGCTCGTGAGATATGTCGTGTCTAAGATCACGAGCTTTAGCTCGAGCTTAGTTCACGAGCTGTTCTTGACGTGATTCGACGAGTGTGTGAAGGATAGCCGGTGAACTGATCAATGCATTGAGGAATGAAACTAAGCTCGAGCTTATCTCGCGACCTCGTACGTTACGACGTAGGGGGGATTACTACAGGCCCAGGTTTCAATTTGAAAAATCAGTGAAAAGGGTAAATCCATACATATGTGAATCTCAAAGTTTGAAACCATATGCTTTTTCAAATGTACGCTCTGCTTGAGCCCCGCTGCGCTTGACGGAGTGAGCTGCATCGCATACGTATGTATTCCACTGGCGCATCTTTTGAGCTACGTTTTGCGGCAACTTGGTAAGCCTTACTATCGAACTATTGATATTAGGTTGTTCAAAAATCAATGTCCGTCTTGAATTTCAACCGCAATAAGTCATACATTTTTCATTTCTAGATAGGTTGCAAAGCATCATTCGATAGAGCAAAGCAAGCTCTACAAGAGAGCGATCTTGCTTTGACAGCAGCTGTGCGCCAAAAACTAAAAAGATTCAGTTGCCTGATAAGTCAAGAAAAATCGTAACTCAGTTCATAAGAATCCTACAAAAAGTCGAAGTTGCTCACGTATATCCACATAAGACATCTATACACGCCGTTGCTGTTTTTTTATTCTGTTAGGAATCAAGAAAACGGAACGTTTCGTGCATTTGCCAAAGTAATGAAAGTAATGATATGCTGTCCCCACATACGTAGTTGTATAGTACAAACCTGTGGAAGCACAAACGTAAATTTTCAGCTCTCTACAAGCTTTAGTTCCCGAGAAATTTGAATTTTAGCTTGGTCCACCTGACTAGGGAAGGCTATGTTCAATATTTCTCGAGAACTAAAGCTTCTAGAGAGCTGAAAAATCAAGTTTATACTTCTAAAGGTTTGTAGTATACAACTACTTATGTAGGGACTGCACAGCATTGCTTCAGCAAATGCACGAAAATTTCCGTTTTCTTGATTTCTAACAGAGGAAAAAAATACGGCGAGGCGTATATAAATGTCATGAGTGGATAGTGTCTATGTGAGCAAATTAGAATTTTTGTAGGATTTTTATGAATTGAGTTACAACTTTTCTCGACTTTTCGGGCAGCTCAATTTCCGGACAACCTAATATTAGGTTGTCTCATAAGTTTTCCCAAGTTTGAATTTGTAAAGCAATAACTCACACGCTCAGTTCTGATTACAAGGCAGGGCACTTTTCGATAGAGCAAAGCAAGCTCTGTAAGATGGCGTGTAAGTGTTCGCACCAGCTTCAGCACATCACGAGTTGAAAACCGAAATTTGAGAACTTTTGGACGCCCAAAAAATTGAAATTTCTTCATAACCTTGCCCAAAGAAAACTTACTAAGTCCCAAACTCATTCACGCATGTACAATACCGCTCATAATTCGTCAAAAAAAGTCGCCGGACTGCGGCGCACTCCGCCAGAGTGCGCTGCAGTGCGCCGGAGTGCGAAGGAGTGCGCCACACTCCACTAGAGTCCGCCGGAGAGCAGCGCACATCACTAGAGTCCGTCAGAGTCCGCGTCGCATCGCCGTATCTTGATTCAGAATGGACCGAATGCTGAATCCGAGGACGCCATTCGATTCACCTCAGCGAGACGCATCTTTAGGTATATAGGAGTCCCACAACCTAGCAGGTATGATAGGTATACTCTAGACAGTAAGTTTTCCCTCCATTTTGCAGATTTTTGTTTGATTGAATTGTTCAGTGTGCTGATAACAGTATTGTCATTGATTTGTCGCTGATAACACATAGAAAATATACTGTAGGAGTATGGTAGAGAGTCACTTTGGTCGAATTTGTTCTAAAATCTGCTCAAGATTACAATACCGCTTACAGAATGTGCAAAACTTCCGTGAACTTCGCGAATTCCGAGATTTTCGCCTAGTCCACGATATTCCGGAAAGTTCGCGACATTCCAGGATCCGCGGAATCATGGGAATCACGCATAATACGCAACGCCATAACTTCCTTCGGATCAAATATATTCTAAATCAGGAAGCAGCATTGTGTTCAGATCGTCGAGGGAAATCTTTTGATGTACAGCATGCCCTCGATATCCCGTTTTCAGTTTTCTCGAATTCCTTCTGTGGAGGTCCTTCGCAAGGATGTAACGCAGCGTCCGTGTAACATGAAAAATTTTAGTAAGCACTATTCGATAGTACTGTTCTTGTAGGTTATCGTGCGTTTGAAAGTACTGCAGCTGTCTTTCAAAATAGATGGAAGCGTTGGTGAATTTTGGAAAAATTACGCGTTTCTAAATTCTACTCGCCGTAACTTCCTTCGGAATGAATACATTCCGAATCCGAGGAAAGCTTTGTGCTCAATTCATCGAGGCAAATCTTTCGATTTACAGCTTGTTCTTGATATTCCGATTTAAGTATTCTCAAATCTTTCTATGGACGTCTTTTCGCAAAAGTGTAAAGCAGCGCGCATTGCCCCTAGTAGACTCCAGCAAGGACGTTCGATAGTACTTTTATTGTAGATTATGGAGCGTTAAAAAGTAGTCACAGGCGTCTTTCCAGTGGATATAGAAGGGTTGGTAAATTGTAAATAAATCTTGTTGTCTCAAATTCTACTCGTCGTAACCCTAGAATACAAAGCTATCTTGCTAAGCAGATATGAGTTTTGTAATCAGCAAGTTGAATAACCTCTATGGGCAAGTTTCCAGAGAACTTCGGGTTATTTGGTTTTTTCTCGTTTCATGCTCTGAAGCTCGCCAGTGGGTTTTGGTCGAAATGCCATGATCTTGGTTTGGAAAGAAACTCCGCTCATAGATGTTTTCAGACACGTTGTTTATGAAAATCGTGTCCTCTGTCATGTATAGGGTCTTTCTGCAGTTATATGGTGAGGTAACTGTGACGGAGTCACGAAAGCTCGTAACCTCGCCTGCGCTTCTCGCGCACCTGTCAGAAAATTGCCCTCTTGCTTTTCTAAGTCAAAGTTACTAGGAACTGTGCTATCAAGTGGTGCATGACTCGGGCTCCAGTATATAGAAGTCGCCAAGTTACAAGCCCACGAAAACACGTCCTCATGCATTTTGCTCAAAATGTAAAGATCGCATACTCCGTCGAAATTCCACCGCAGGTGGCTCTACAACACGCTGACCAAATCCGTTCACATCGCTTAATGGATCTCCCTGTGTTGGATTTGATAGTTAGATAGATCTGAGATCTAGCCATGAAGCTGATTCAACTAAGCAGCTGAAGCACACTCAACCACCATATTCAGTACAGTGGGATCCCTTGGGCAAAATGAACATAATACTTGCATTTAGACTTTCATAACCAGTCATGGTGGAATTGCGACGGAGTATGCGATCTTTACATTTTGGGCAAATGCATGAGGACGTGTTTTCGTGGGCTTGTAACTTGGCGACTTCTATATACTGGAGCCCGAGTCATGCACCACTTGATAGCACAGTTCCTAGTAACTTTGACTTAGAAAAGCAAGAGGGCAATTTTCTGACAGGTGCGCGAGAAGCGCAGGCGAGGTTACGAGCTTTCGTGACTCCGTCACAGTTACCTCACCATATAACTGCAGAAAGACCCTATACATGACAGAGGACACGATTTTCATAAACAACGTGTCTGAAAACATCTATGAGCGGAGTTTCTTTCCAAACCAAGATCATGGCATTTCGACCAAAACCCACTGGCGAGCTTCAGAGCATGAAACGAGAAAAAACCAAATAACCCGAAGTTCTCTGGAAACTTGCCCATAGAGGTTATTCGACTTGCTGATTACAAAACTCATATCTGCTTAGCAAGATAGCTTTGTATTCTAGGGTTACGACGAGTAGAATTTGAGACAACAAGATTTATTTACAATTTACCAACCCTTCTATATCCACTGGAAAGACGCCTGTGACTACTTTTTAACGCTCCATAATCTACAATAAAAGTACTATCGAACTTCCTTGCTGGAGTCTACTAGGGGCAATGCGCGCTGCTTTACACTTTTGCGAAAAGACGTCCATAGAAAGATTTGAGAATAATTAAATCGGAATATCAAGAACAAGCTGTAAATCGAAAGATTTGCCTCGATGAATTGAGCACAAAGCTTTCCTCGGATTCGGAATATATTCATTCCGAAGGAAGTTACGGCGAGTAGAATTTAAAAGCGCGTAATTTTTCCAAAATTCACCAACGCTTCCATCTATTTTGAAAGACAGCTGCAGTACTTTCAAACGCACGATAACTTACAAGAACAGTAC